CTCCATTCGGTTCAGGTGTGCCCCATCACACGCCGCCAGCCCTGGCTATTTCAGCGCCCCTCCTCTCTCACGTACCCACTCATGTCGGGAGCCTGGCGAAGGGCGGCGATTAAGGGACGGGGTGATGCTGATAATTAGTGGGAGGCAGCTGACTCATCACAGTGTGTTGATATCCAGCCGAAGAGCAATCAACCATAACTTCAGGCGAGCAGGCTCAGAAGTCGGTTTTGGATAAGCGGATAAGCACAAGTAAGTACCATTTTGATTAGCCGTCATACCTACAATGACTGTGCAAACAATGAGTGACCGCAAGAGCGGTGCGCGCGCACAAAGACAGTTGGACATAGTGCTGTATTAGAGGTAAAAAATTATATAAATACTGTTCGGTTTCTCGCACAAACCAATCGTTTCGTGTCTTCGGACATCAATGTGTCGTCACGAGCCGCAGGGTTTAATTTGGATGTGTCTGTGCATGTTTTTTTTACACTCATAGACTTTGTTACCATTGCCATCCATTATAAGACTGATGGACTCCAACGGTTGGACTTAAAAATCATCAAATGTGTTCTACTGAAGAAACAAAGTCACCTACATCTTGGATGCCCTGGGGGTAAGCCGATAAACAACAAATTTTCTTTTTTGGGTGAACTATCCCTTTAAGACATGGCATCAGTGGACCAGATACATGTGAGTTATTATTTCATTTGCTTGTTTTATTTATTTATTTTGTCTTTATTTAATGTAATTTAATGCATTGTTCATAGAGTAGATCTTTTTCAGATACTTTATTAATAGGAAGTCTTCCGTTTACTAATGATTGCAGTCTTGTGGTGATAAGAGATACACATATGAACCCTTTTTAAAGATTGTAATGATGCACACACACATAAATGCATACATACATAGGCTATATATAAAGCTATAGGAATTACAGTAAAGTTTTCAAAATGTGTTTTCTTTAATCTTGTAAATAGATACATCGTAATATTTGAAGGTTTGTTTAGTCTGTGTTCCTATAAAACACAGGTTTCACCATGTATGCATTTGATTTACAGTGTTACTAGTCATCTGCTATCAAAATCAGTCCATTCACGATGATGTATATGAAAATTGATTCCTGTTTATTGAAAAGAAGCTTGTAATACATTCTGTTCCAGTGTATTTATTTATGTTCTTTTTGTTGCATTATTCTTTTTTCCTTTGTATTTGCAGGTTGTGTACTTGAATGCAGCAAATAACAACTGCCCAGTTCAGGAAAGTAAAAGCGTTTGAATTTTATTTCTGGAACTTTTCTGGTTCATGTTTTCTTCAAGCGGCACTGACCAAGGAAGTTTCATGTGCAGTAAAAGTGTCCATAATTAAAGGTAAAGTACAGTTGTCTGAAATTTCATTTAGGCCTAAATTTAGTAACTTAAGTAATCTGGTGGTAGCTTTTCAATGTCACTTTTAAGTTAAAAATATCTTACATTTATTAATAAATAACTGATCTGTTTTTAAACCTAAATTTATTTAAATTTGTACTGTTTCCATAGGATTGAATACATTTGGTGTGATGTCAGAATCATGGTGACCAACAAGTACTAGACATGCTGCACTCGCTGGAAGCATAACGATTGCTTGACATATCAGTGGTCGAGGTCCTTTTCAGTGTGAACTTCACTTTTCTCCCAAGAATTCAGGCAGACTTGGACACATTTGCAGAAGCCTGGAATCATCCACTCTTGTCAGAAGGCAATCGAAGTTCAGAGCATCTGTGGCACATTGAACTGATACACACAAAATGTATCAACCCGAGAGATATGAGGTATGGAGACCCTGCTTTCTTTACTCTGTCACCACACTGCTGTTTATGCATTAGTCTAAGTGGATTTTTAACTATGTATTTAACTGCTAAATCATTAGGACATTGAAGAACCAGATCTAGATGGTGACATAGCACCTTCTTACGATGCCTGTGAAAATTTCAGAGCTATTGTTCAAGAATTTGAATCACTTTTAAGTTTGGATGGGTTGAGGGCACTCAAACACCTTCTGAATTCAACTGGTCCTAATATCCCTGTTAAAGAACTGTATTTGCTTTGTTTGTTTTTTTTCAACAAATATGGGGTAAATTAAAAAAAATCACTGCTATGTCCCAGTCTAGATATGGCTCTTTGATGTCCTGAAGATTTAGCAGTTAAATACATCATTAAAATCTACTTAGATTAATTCATAAACAGCAGTGTGGTGACAGAGTAACTAAAACAGGGTCACCATACCTCATCTCTTTACCTTTAATTAAGGACACTTTTTCCCTTGTTCAGTGCCTCTTGAAGAAAACATGAACCTGGCAATCTGTACATCCTCCACTCACTGGTCTCCCTTGACCCTGTTTTAAAGAGAAAAAAAAAACAAACAATACATTATTTTATAGGAACACAGACTAAACAAACCTTCAAATATTACGATGTATCTATTTACAAGATTAAAGATAAAACACATTTTGAAAACTTTACTGTAATTCCTATAGTTTTATATATAGCCTATGTATGCATTTATGTGTGCGTGTGTGTGCGCATCATTACAGTCTTTAAAAAGGGTTCATATGTGTATTTCTTATCATCACAAGACCGCAATCACTAGTAAACGGAAGACTTCCTATTAATAAAGTATCTGAAAAAGATCTACTCTATGAACAATGCATTAAATTACATTAAATAAAGACAAAATAAATAAATAAAAACAAGCAAATGGAACGATAACTCACATGTATCTAGTCCACTGATGCCATGTCTTAAGTCAAGAGAATTATAAATCATCTAATAACAGGCGTCCAATACTGACTTCCGGAAAAGAGGAATAAACAATGACATTTGAGGTTACAATTAAAACAGCAAGCCCTGCCCCACGACTGACAAAAATAAGTGTTTGCGCGAACAGATGAGGAAAGATCGAGTGCGAGGATGTGGGGAATGATTAGTGATGGGAAGTTCGGATAATTTTACCGACTCGGACCTTTGAGTCTCGTTCAGGAAAATGAACAAACCTTTTTTTCCAAGTCATTTCGTTCATTTTAGCAAAATATAATTAAAATGTTACGTGTTACTTCCCTAACACATCTACTACTAACGCAAACGTTGATCACACTACAAACAATAAAAAACTGCTATAAGAAACAGAAAATATTAATTCATTGTTCACCTGGGTCTTCAGTCTATGATTCGCTCACCTCTTATCTGACAAGTCTTCGGGTTTGGGCTTATGGGGTCACGTGATGAATGAACGACGACTCAACAAAGACTCGAGAGATGAACTAATCAATTCTCTTTCCGGCTCAGACTGCATTTGGTTAAACTTATGGGGCTGTCACGGGATGAATGAACGACTCAAACCCGAAGAATCGAGAGATTAACTAATCAATTCTCTTTCCGGCTCAGACTGCATTTGGTTAAACTTATGGGGCTGTCACGTGATGAACGAACGACTCGGAAAAACCCGAAGACTGGAGCCAGGTGAACTACTTGACTAATTCCAGTACAGAACCTATAGGATGTTGCGCATGCGCGACTGAACGAATCACTCCTCGAGACTACTCATTCTTCCCGAGTCACATTAAAGATTCGTTCAAAATGAACGAATCGTTCAAGAACAACCCAACACTAGGAATGATCATGCGCGCGCGAGGGCTTGTATTGCACGCAGAGGACATGTCACACGCGCGCGAGGGTTTGAACTGAGCTTGCGGGCTCCCGTTTCCTCGCGTGTAAATCTGTTTTCCTCTCGCGGAAGTGATTTACCACGCGCGCCAGCATCAGTGGTGCGCTCGGTTATTAATGGCATAGGATTGCCGCCATACATGACTCCCAACAAATCAGATGGGCAGTGGGCGGAGACTGCTTTAGGCCACAGAGTGGTGAATACTGACAGGCTGCATCAGAGCCAAATAGCGCGTTTCAAAATGAAGTTATTTTATCGGCGAATCGGTTTTGAAAATGACCGATACCGATAATCATAAAATGCTTAATATCATTTAATGATATTTTTCATCTATGAAAAATCAAGGTGCAACACAGAGTGAAGAATATGCAAATGTTATTTTATAAGTGATTATTCAATTTCTTTACCTCTACACCTACAAACATAAAAACCTGATAGAAAATGTAATTCCTATCTTTGTACTATAATTAATTGTGCTATTACTTGCAATTTGTTCATTTGTTCTTATTTACTGGCTGTCACTTGTCTTTAATAATGTTCAGTGTTTCCCCTGCCATTATTTTAGGGGGGCGGCCCGCCCCCTTGAAGGTCAAGTTAATTTTATTTAATTATATTTTCTCTATAGCGCCAGATCACAACAGAAGTCATTTAAAGTTACCTTTCTTATAGAACATGTCTATACCTTGTTCTTTCATTAAGCAAACTAAATAGCCATGTTGGCTAGGGCAAGTGATAATTTGAACCACTAGCCCGACCGGTCCGGGCCAGTATTAAAAATCCTTAGCGTTGAGCCCTGATATGGGAGACCTTAGCAAATATAGTTTTTCCATTTGGTCCAACAAGGAAAAAGGCAGACAAAAGAGATAAAACGTCATATTTTACCTTTTTTTGTGTGCTAGGGTAATATAACACAGAGTACAGTGTCATAAATGTACATTAATTATTTTTAAGCATAAAACAGCAGGAAAACAGGTAAACCTTTGCCCACAAAATGTTTGAGATTACACCAATGTAAAAAAGTGAATCTGATGTGTCTCACAGGCTCGGAGTTAAACAGTTTAATGATTCTAAAAAGCAAAGAGCGGAAATAAAACATAAATCTTCTCATTGTCAGTGAGTTCCATCACATTTTTAAGACCTCTGAAAGGTGGATTTAAGACATTTTATTGATAATAAGCCCTTATTTTTATGTTAAGGAATTTAAACCCGTTTAGGGATCCGCAGGCACCCTGTTAAATCTTGGTTAGTTTAATGTACTACAAGTTGAAACAGTCATCAAAGATGGATACAGAATAAAGACCAACCTCCTTGTTCCTCATGTTCTATTCCCCAGGGTTCTGGTTCCTCGTGTTTTATTCTCCAGGGTTCTGGTTCCTCGTGTTTTATTCTCCAGGGTTCTGGTTCCTCGTGTTTTGTTCTCCAGGGTTCTGGTTCCTCGTGTTTTGTTCTCCAGGGTTCTGGTTCACTCGTGTCCTCCTCTCTCTCCTCTTTAACAAACACCATCTTCACAGCAGCAGACCTCAGTTCAGATGATAGTTCCTGCTCGCTTCAAAACTTAGTCACGACTATGAGGATGAGAATACTACAGGTGATGTTATTTAGTGATCTGATTCAATTTTCGCATCTTTCTATTTAGAAATAGTACATTTCAGTTTGTAGCATCACGACAAAACAACAGAAAGCACGGTGAAACTAATCTTCCTCTTCTTTTTGTTCTTCTTCTTCTTCTTCTTAGTTTTATGGCGAGTTGCAATCTTTGCGCATATCGCCACCTACTGTGCTATTGTGCAATCAGGATTTTCTTTTATCATATTAGTTATTCTGTCTCAACTCTGAAGCCATCAAGAGTCCAGGTATCGGTTGGCGCTGCGTGTTCAGCTCCTCCGTCCTCCACACTGAACCCCTTAGACCTCCAAACCGAATCTTTTATATTATATTCTTTTATCTAGTCCTGTGCTATATAAAAAATTACATAAAATCCTATATCCTGTTCTATCACTATTAAATTCATATCCCAATAAATATCCCACATCCTTATTCTTTTTACCTTTATCTTTTAGATATGCTATTAGTTCCTTCCTATCCTCACTATACTTTATACATTCATATATTGCATGCTCAATTGTTTCTTTCTCACCACAAAATTCACATAAGCCGTTAACATGTACACCAATTAAAAACAATGAACCATTCAGCCCCGAATGACCCAGTCTTAATCTAGCTATTATCCCCTCTTCCTTCCTATTCCTTCCTCTTACAATCATTTTAGTATCTACCTGCTTTTTGATTTTATATAAATGTCTTCCCTTATAATCTAAATTCCACACTTCTTGCCATCCCCTTGTAACATTCCTCTTAGTAATACTTTTAACTTCCCCTCTACCTAATGGAACATTGATATCAATTTCTTTCTTTTTTTTAAGCATTTTTAGCCAGTTGATCACTTATTTCATTCCCAACTACCCCCATATGGGCTGGAACCCAACAAAATCCTATTAAAATTCCTTTCCTTTGAATTCGCCATATTAACATTAAAATTTCATTCATTAAATCTTCTCTAGATGACTGGTGGCTGGATAATGAAGTTAAGACAGAAGCAGTGTCTGAGCAAATCACAGCTCTGTCTGGTGTCACTTCCTCGATCCACATAAGTCCCACTATAATAGCAACCATTTCAACAGAATATATTGATAATTCAGATGTTAATCTTTTACTTATGAATATATCCAAGTCAGGTATATATATTCCTGCTCCTGTCATCCCCTTATCTGGATCTTTGGACCCATCAGTGTATATTTGTGTACTTCCATAAAATCTTCCAGATATATGCCTATATATACATTACGTTTGAGTATTCCCATTTCCTCCCATTCCTTTCTCTTGTCCAAAATCTCCAGATCAATTTTTGCTTCAGGTATTATCCATATGGGCACTTCACTCCATACTGGAGAAATACTGCATACTATATCAAATATCTGGTATTTTTTTGCTAACTGGTTTATATCCCACCCAAATCCTCTTCCGTTTTTACTCGCATACTCCCAGCAGTCTTTTGAAACATCTTTAGCAATATTGTCTCCAGCATAACTTTTAATAGATGTCCAATATGCCAATGACAATTTCACTCTGCGCAAATTCAGAGGCAATTCATTCGATTCAACGATTAAAGCATTTACCGGTGTTGATTTGACTGCTCCTAAACACATTCTAAGTGCTCTGTATTGCATTCTATCTAGCTTCTTTAGCAATGTCTCTGACACCGCACCATATATCATGCAGCCATAATCAAATACAGATCTAACCAAAGCTTGATACACTTTCATCACATCATAATCTCTTTCATATTAATTGCCTTTTCTATATCATTACTAACTTTACTTCTGATCGTTTACTTCTAAAGCCACACTGATATTTGCTATATTTATTCCTTTTCTCTAAATCATAATTTACCCTTTGAACTATTAATCTTGTTTCCAAGTTTTTGGAATTATTCCTTCTCTCCATATTTTATTGTATAATTGGAGTATCAATAAAATAACATTATCTGAAAGATGTTTAAACATTATGTAACTCACCTGGTCACATCCTGGGGCAGTATTTGCACATTTCTGTCGTATTCTTCACCCAATTCTAAACTATGTAATCTTTCTAAAACCTTTCCAAGCATATTTGCTTTTTCTATATCTGATATAGCAATTATATCATTCTCAATCAACACTGGAATTTGCTTTCTCTTTTTCCCTCTTCCACCCATATTCTGAAGCATTTTCCATACTTGATCTATAGTGGTGTCTTTTCCTATAGAAGAGCAAAATGTCCTCCAACCTTCCCTCTTAGCAGTTTTAATAATTCTTCTCGTACTGGCTCTTGCTCTCTTGTATTTCAACATATAATCCATATTCATATTTTTCCTAAGTTGCTTAAATGTCTTATTTCTTTCTTTTACTGCTTTGCTGCATTCTTCTGTCCACCATGGAATCTTCCTCATTTTCTCACCCGCAGTTCTTTGAGGTATATATAGGGTTGAAGATTCTAATATTAAGTCTGTAAGCGATTTGCAAAATATTTCAACTGTATCCTCCACCTTATCTTTATTTTCTTCACAGTATTTCCCAAATTCTATCCAGTCTGCCTTCTCATACATCCATTTATTTTGAAGATAATGTCCCGTATTATGATTTCTAACATTTAATTTACAAATTATTGGAAAGTGATCACTTCCAATTGTGTTGTCGCTGATTACTTTCCATCCACAAATCTCAGCCATTTCATTTGATATTAATGTAAGATCTAAACTTGATACCGTATTATCTATTATATTATATCTAGTACCTTCTCCAGAGTTTAAGCAAACTAAAGATCTCTCCTCCATAAATTGTTCTATTATTTCCCCATTAGAATCTACCCTATAACCAGTTGTGAGCATTAAAATCCCCACACCATAACTCTTTCTTACCTCTTTCAACCATTTCAAGTGAATTTAATGACATGTTTTTACATGGATTATGAAAGTTACATACTACCTCGGCGACACTTTTCCTACTGTGTTAATGTAATAGGCTGGACTGCATATGCAGTATAAAATGCTGAAGATTACTATGTGTGAAATACTGTATACTGTAACTCATGTGATGCTGTTAGTGTATATACGTTAATGTAATAGGTCTTCAGTTTAAATCATTATTAATTATACAAATGTTGGAAAATATCTAAAACCTTTCCAAGCATATTTGCGTTTTCTTTTAGACATTTATGATTACAATCATTCTCCTTTCTATTCCCTGTCTCCACGTTCCTTACAGATTGCTTATCATTCGCCAACGGTTTTTCTGCTCTTACCACCTTACTATGACAGCCCTTCACTGCTTCCGCATATGAAACTTTATTTTCAACCTTGTATCTCTGAACCTCTTTTGTTTTTATCTGAAACTCACATCCTCCGTAGGCAGCACTGTGTGGACCCCCACAATTACAACATTTGAGATAATTTGTACACTTGTCATATTCGTGTTCTTCCCCACACTTCACACATCTCATTTTTCCTCTGCACACTGCAACCACATGTTCAATTCGCTGGCATTTGAAACATCGCAGAGGCTTTGGAATATATTCTCTGATTACGTAACTGATATTTCCCAATTTCACATTTTCTGGCATCTTTGAATGTCGTATTTATTTATTTTTCTCGGCGACACTTTTCCTACTGTGTTAATGTAATAGGCTGGACTGCATATGCAGTATAAAATGCTGAAGATTACTATGTGTGAAATACTGTATACTGTAACTCATGTGATGCTGTTAGTGTATATACGTTAATGTAATAGGTCTTCAGTTTAAATCATTATTAATTATACAAATGTTGGAAAATACTTTCAAATGTTATGTTTTGAAATAACTAAGGTGCTTAGAAATATTTATAGTTTATCTTAATAAAATATATGAGTGAGCTGGAAGAACTAGAAGATAATGGCATGGCTGAGTTATTGATGATCAATGAGAAAATTGTCTTACAAAATCAAAGTGATCTTACAGTGACTACTGTTGATAATCCAGGAAAAGAGGTGGCACCAGGACACGTTGAAGGGGCAATGAACACGGCCCAGAGGACAGATAGGGAAACAGGTGCTATAGCCGAATCACTTCAGGCCATGAATGTCAATACTACTGTTCCACATAGCACAGCAGGGGCACAGGCAGATCAGTCACAACCAGCACACAGACACAACGCATCAGTGATTTGGCATAAAGAGTTCAAAATCGCAGGTTTAATTGGTGAACCGGGTCAAAAGGACAGACTATCATTTTCTAGTTTGGCTCGTCAAATAGAAAACGGGCTGAGCAAGGGGTATGCAGAGCAGGAAGTCATCGATGCTGTAATTCGATCCATTACGCCGGGGGATCCAGCTGCGTAGCTATTTGGAAGGGAAAGCTGACTTAACTCTTCCGACGCTCAGACGCATCCTACGTTCCCACTATCAGGAAAAGAATGCCACTGAGTTATATAAACAACTGACCACAGAGAGTCAGCGCAGCAAGGAAACTTCAGAAAAAAAAAATTTCTGATCCGTGCCCTCGATCTAAGACAGAAAATTCTGTTTGCCTCACAAGAGGACGAATCTGGGCTGAAATATGACCCTGTTTTGGTGCAGAACATGTTTCTACACGTCTTAACTGGGCTGCAAAATGACCGTATTCAAAATGACTTACAGCCGTATCTTTCTAACCCTGAAATTCCTGATGAAGTATCGCTTGAAAAACTAAATGTTGCTTGCTCTCATGAGGCGGAAAGGCAGAACAAACGGAAAACAGAACGCCAAGCTGTTGTTAATGCCACACAGCTAGACGAGCCTACCCCCGAACTAAAATGTCCGCCTAAACAGTCAAAACTCGATCT